TCTCTTTTTACTCTTTTGGGGAAGTCTTTTGATGCACATAGAATCTAATTTTTAGAAAGTCTCAGTCATCTAGTTTATCTTCTGCTGTTTGTGCATCTTGGGTTATGCTTGGTAGTCTATTATACCATAAATTAGGGCCCCTAAATCTGCCCCTATTTTCTCTTTGAGGAACTTTATAGATTTAGGTTTCACATTTAAGTCTTCAATCCATCCAAAGTTAGTTTTTGTATATGGTATGAAGTATGGATCTTGTTTTACTTTTATACAAATAGATATCCAGTTTTGCCAGCACCATTTGTTACAAAGCCTATCTTTTTCTCCATTTAATGGATTTCAGCCCTTTGTCAAAGATCAGCTGACCATAGGTGGATGGATCTATTTCTGGGTTCTCAGTTCTGTTCCATGAGTCTATGTGTATGTCATTGTACCAATACCAGGCTGTTTGACTACTGTGGCTATTTAGTAAGTTTTGAGAACTGGGAGTGTGAGACCTCCTACTTTGTTCTTCTTCTTCAGTAGTGCTTTGCTAATCTGAAGTCTGTTTCCTTTCCACATAAAATTAGTGATTTGTTTTTCCCTGTCTTTGAAAAATATTGATAGATTCTGGATCAGGATTACATTGAATGAATAGATTGCTTTGGGTAATATTGACATTTTCAAAGTGTTCCATCTTTCTATCCATGAGCATGGAATGTTCTTCCATTTATGTAAATCTCTTATAATTTCTTGAAGTAATGTTATATAGTTTTCTCTGTATAGGTCTTTTGTATTTCTGGTAAGATTTCTTCCTAAGTATCTTATCTTTTTGGTGTTGTTGTTGTTGTTAAATGCCATCGAGTCATTTCCGACTCATAGTGACCCCATGCACAGCAGAACAAAACACTGCCCAATCCCGTGCCAGCTCCATGATCCTTGCTATACTTGAGCCCATTGTCGCAGCCACCATGTCTTTTTGGTAGCTATAGTAAATGGTATTGATTTCCTTATTTCTTTTTCAGAGACCTTTTTGCTGGTGTAGAGGAATCCAACTGATTTCTGCATGTTGATCTTGTATCCTGCCACTATGCTAAATCTTTCAATAAGTTCCATTAGTTTTCTTGCTGAGCTTAGTGTTATTGGTTGCCCTGTGTAAGTAACTTTGTTTTTCTCATGCTGCTTTCAGGATTGTTTCTTTGTCTGTGGTTTTGGTGAGTTTGATGATGATATGTCTTGGTGATTTTCTTTTGGGGGTCTATCCTATTTGGGGTCCATTGAACTTCTTGAATGGATATATTCTTGTCTTTCATCTTATTAGGAAAATTCTCTTCCAACAAATCTTCGACAATTTTCTCTGTGGTTTTATTTGTCTCTTCCTATCCTGGAATTCCTATTGCATGTAGGTTATTCCTCTTGATAGTATCCTATATGAATCTTAGGCTTTCTTCATTTTGTTTTGATCTTTTTTCTGATTGATCCCTTAACAAAGTACTATTGAGCTATTTGTCTTCAATCTCATTAATTCTGTCTTCCAGTGATTGGATTCTACTCCTTTGCCCATTCAATGTGTTATCTATGTCTCAAATCTTCGTATTAATCTTCTGGATTTCTATTTGTTGTTTTTGTATCATTTCTAATTTTTTGTTTATTTTGCCAATTTGTTCTTGTATTATTTTCCTAAATTGTTGTAGAGTTTTGTCTGTGTGTTCCTTAACTTTGTCAGGGCTTTCCTTGATCTGTCTCTCAATGCATTGAAGATAACCAAATATAATTCTTTTAATTCCTTATCGGGAAGTTTCAATGCTGCTGCTTCCTCAGGGATGTCTTCTGGGTTTGTATCTCAGTCTCTTGTTTCTACTAATTTATGTTACTTCATTGGATGGACTTTGATGGTCTGTTGTCTCCAAGACATTGTGGTATTGTTGTATTTGTTTATTTTGTGGTTGTATGTTGATGTGATTCACCCAAGGTTTTTTCCTTCCTTTATTTTATTTAGATACATCTGTGTGAGCATGGTACTTAGCTCCTCTATTCGCTAGTTGTTAGGACTTTGCCAATCACCACCTGTCTCCTGGTGGGTGTGATAAGGAATAAGAGTGTGTGCACAGATCTCTGTTAGCTGTTAGTAAAGAGCGGTTGAGGGTGAGTTGAGCTAGTATTGGCCGCCATCTATTGTTAGTGGGTGCCAAAGTAAGTGGTTGCCCTCCCTCAGTGAGTAGGGCTGCAGTAGGTGCAGGTATGCTTAGGTTGTATGGGAAGCGTTGCTGCCTCCCACTCAGACAAAAAAAAAAAAAAAAGTTAAACCACCAAAAAAATAAAACCAAAAGAAAAAAAATCAAGATGCATACAAGCAGGAACAATCACAGAAAAAAGAAGACAATAAATTAGAAGAAATATTTTAAAATGTATTTTTAAAAGACAAAAGAATGATAAGGAGGGGAAAAACGCGTACAATATCTGGGGGGGGCAGGAAATGAGAGAAAAGAGCAAGAGTAAAGGAATAGTGAAGAAAACTGGGAAGACAAGGAATGGGATGAATCAAAAGAAAGGAAAAAGAAGGGAACCAGGAAAAGGGAAGAGAAAAAAAAGAAGAACAACCAGGGACAGGAAAGAGATATAATTAATTAATTAATTAAAAGGAAGAAAGGAGGAAGATGAAAAGAATCATTTAAAACAAAGAAAAACAAAACTGGAGGAGGGCACACACAGCCCTGTCAGGGCACAGACCAGGATGGAATTCCTGAAAGTCAAGAAAGTGAATAGAGGTGGGAGATGACCACACCACTGTTCACCAAGAAGGGGTGGGGTATAAGGGTAACAAGAAGAATATCACACCTTTCTAGTTGTCAGCCTCCAGTCAGCCTGTGCTGTCCTTGGCAAAGGGAGCTGATTCTTAGGTCGCCATCCAGGTCAGAACCCCACTTTGAGATATTCAAAATGGCCACACTGCTTGCAAATATTTAAAATGGGTATGCCCTTAAGACAGGGGGAAGTCCATAGGTCTGTTTATTCCCTTCTTTGGTGTTTTCCTTTCTGGTTGTCAGGCACCAGTGCAGTTCTTGCCTATATAGTCCTTGGTGAACAGAGCCGATTCTTAGCTTGTTACTGGGATGCTGCTTGCAAATATTCAAAACAGCTGCACCCTCAAGACAGCCAGCAGTTCCTAACTGTGTTCATCTCCTTCTTCACTGTTTTCCTTTCTGATTGTCAGACACCAGTGCGGTCCTTGTCTGTCTTGTCTGTGGTGAGCAGAGCTGATTCTTACGTTGCTATCTGGAATGTGCTTAAATATTTAAAATGGCTGTGCCCTCAGGACAGCCAGCAGTCCACAGCTCTGTTCGTCACCTTACTCACTGTTTTCATTCAGGTTCTACTATTAGTTGGTGTTCAATCCACTCCTTTACCCTTCCCTTCAAAGCTCAGGGTTCCAGGATCACCTTTGGTATTGGTTTCAGTTGGTTTCTCACTGCTTTGTTGCAGAGGGTCTCTGCAGCTTGGCTGCCTATTCCACCATCTGGCCAGAGCTCTCCAAGCTTTTCTTGGTTGTTTCTGGTGTGAGTCTCTCTGTGTTTCAAGTATATGCATGTATCAGTCTTGGGTGCTCACATGGGAGTTATGTTTTTCCAAGGCCAAGTTTCTCTGAGAATCTCTAATCCTGAGTCACATCACTTCCCTGTGTGAATTTTCCATAGGTTCTCACGTCCATGAAATAGTTTGGAAATCTTGTTTCTGGATTCCCAACACCCACATTTCCCAATAGGTTCTAATTTCCCCTTCCACCTTGGATTGAGCCCCAGCAGAAACTTTCTGGACACTGTGACCTGCAGGTACAGACACACATTGTCCTCTCTGCTGCTGCCAAAGCCCAGGGTCTTCTTCATGAAGGTTGACTTGAGTGTCCCTGTTATCGTGACTTGTTTTTTAACGTGGTGTCTATTTGTGTTTTGATCCTGTGGAGTGTGAGCTCCTGAAGGACAGGCACTGCCTTCTTTGTTCAAAAATCTAGTGACAGTACCATAAGAGTCCAGGGCTGCATCAGAGCTCATCATGTGCCATTTCTCACAGAACCTCAAGTGTAGGGGCAGTGGCAGGAAGGGGACCTATTTTCTCTGCCAGTCCAGCCCTTCAGAGGGATGTTCTTCATGTCTCAGACACAGGGTCGATGGTGGTGTCTAATAGGTCCTCTTCTCCCCATACCAACCCTCACCTGATATTTTTCTCTCACAGATGTTCACTCCCTTTCTTACAATTTCACCGTCATGTTTAAGTCACCACCTGGACGACAGTGGTGTGAAGTTCAGGGCTATGTGGATGAACATACTTTTCTTCACTACAACTGTGGCAGCAAAAAAGTCATGAACTTGACTCCTCTGGGGGCGAGAGTGATTTCCATGAAAGAATGGGAAGAACAAACCCAAACTCTGAAAGATGTGGGGGAAGAGCTCAAACAGCAAATACCTAACATTGAACTGGAGAATTACACAACCAGGGGTAAGTGTGAGAAGACCTCATGCTTTGAAATGGTTAACTGGATGAAGACAGAAGAATAGATGTTGAAGGGGTGGGGAGCCATTACTGAGTTTGTGTTTAAAAAAAAAAATGAAACTTTGTGCAAACTAGGGGTCCCTCAGCAAGGGCAGGCCTTGGAGAACAGAGTAGGGCCAAGAGGTGAGAGGGCAATAGAAGAGGTGGATGCTAGGCAAAGGGTTGGTTAGGACTTGGGAGTGATGTCTCTCCATGGGGGGCAGCTCCTCTCACCCTGCAGGCCAAGATGTATTGTCAGCGTGACTCAGGTGAACACACCAAAGGATTCTGGGAGTTTGGTTTTGACAGCCAGCTATTCCTCCTCTTCAACTCGGAGAACATGAAGTGGACAGAGATCCATCCTGGAGCCCGATTGGTGAGAGCGATGTGGAAGAAGAACAGGGATCTGAACAAGTTCCTCAAGAGAACCTCAGAGGGAGACTGCAACAGATGGCTTAAGGAGTTTTGGGGCCATTGGGAGAAAATGCTGGAGCCAAGAAGTAAGTGAGAAGTGGGGGAGAAAATAGTAGCTTCATTTTCTATGTGTGGGGGGGGTTGAGAGAGAGATCCATTCCTTGATGACTTCTTCTTGGGAGAATAGTGGACACAGGGATTTTCACCCCATCCTCCCTTTCCCTTCTCTCTTCCTGATACCTGTTCGACGCTGCAAGCACCTATGGTCCCTTCACAGTGGATTTCTTGCTGGCCTCAAATATGTGGGCATCATTATGTTTCCATACTTCTTCTTGCTATTATTCTCTTCCTAGAATAACTGTTTATTTCACTTGGTGTCTTTCTGGAAATCCTTCACAAACACCTTACATGTCAGTGCCTGAGGAGCCTTCACTGCCATCTTTGTTTATTACCTCCTCTTTGGCCACAGCTAGTGTGCTTCATTGTACTGTAAGCTTTTCCTTCTCCAACTAGGTGTATGAGCTCTGGGAGGACAGGCCCATCTCCTGTCCGTCTTCAACCCTAGGACCTATTATAGTGGCTAACACATAGTGGAGGGTTAGAAAATGTGTTTATACTGGGGTTGTGTGGGGAAGGCAGGACCTAAGGAAGGCATCTCCTCGTTTTATGATCTGGCCCAAGCACTTTCACTCTTCTGTTTCCATTTTAGCACAATTCACCACGGCCCCAGCCTCAGCCCAACCCACGACCGCAGGCGCAGTGAACCCCTGGATCCTCCTCATGATGCTCACCTGCTTGATCCTACTTTGCATCCAATGCTGAGCCCTTCGGAGTGACAGGTACTGTGAGCAGAATTGAGAGAGCAGTGTGGGGTGAGTAGCCTTGTGTGATGACTGGGGAGAGCCGGGTACCAGAGTGCTACCCCTGCCCCAGCCACTAAAGATTCTCATCATGTATGATGACCTCTTATCACTTGATACCAAAAACTGAATAAGCCCTGAGTTTCGATTAATTCTTATTGTCAAATGTTACTGGGAAAGGGAAAGGCCCACACCAAGGCTTAGGATCTGTTGCTGCTAAAGGGGTTTAGGAAAATGAGGTCTGATGCAGACCTGGGTCTCTGTTTGGGAGAAGCCCACAATGGTGGTTAACATGGAGACAGCAGGAACACAGACATGGGCACTACTGAAAATTTGGCAAGACAGCAACCTGTTTGTTCCAGATGATAAAATCCAGAGCAAAGGGATTCTGTTATTCAATCTGGACCAACCCCAGAAAAAGGGGGCTGCAAAGGGCGTTGCAAGCCCAACCTACTAGACTCAAGTCAAGATGCATATTTCCACTGATGTCTTGGGTTGCAGCATGGAGGCACGAGGCTCACAGTAGAAACTGGGCCAGGACTAGGTTCAGGTCTCAACGGATACCTGGTGATCCTGGCTCAGCCCTGGTGCAAAGCGTGTGGCAAGTAGTGTCATGGCAGACTCTAGATCTCTGAGCTATTTGAGTGCTGTCTGAACAGCATGGACTCGGGGGAATGGTGGGGCGGAGCTGGACCAGAAATGGATAGGCAGGGACAGTCACGCTCAGAGCTGTCTGTGGAAAGAAAGAGATTTGCTTGCCAGTCCACCCAGGCCTGGGTGTCCAGGCCATTCGCTCTGAAGAGCAGTTTCCCCCTGATCCTGTAGGTCCTGCCATCAAAGAGAGGACCAGGACAGAGTAAGAGAGCAAACGGCTTCAACCCTTGCTCTAGCCCTGAGCCCCAAACACCTGTAGCAGGGCCTGGGCTGACTCTATGGACACAGAGGGATGGAGGAGGCGGGCACAGGATGCAGGATACAGACTCGGAGAAGATCACAGGAAAGGGAAAGTGCATGGCCCTTGGTGGGGATAGACCCTGAGATGCGGAGTAATCAGGAGGGTGAGCCCATAGAAAACTGAGTCAGGATTTCCTGAGATACATGTACCAACATGTATTTCTTTTCTGAAGGCTGAAGATACTGCCAAGAAGCTCTGGAACCTGTGGTCTAGTCCAACCACTTTCCTTCCCAGCCTCCCAGCTCCCCACCACCCACTCTTCATCTCTCGGACATCAGGAGGGTCAAACTTTAGAGAAGCTCCGTAGCCTCCAGCACGTCCTGATGACCCCACAGATGCAACATTCCATCAGATGATGATCCTTTTCCTCGCTTGTCCTGATCAAGGTTTGCCTTTTTCTCTTGGTGCTAACTGATGGGATTGCGGTATGAACTTTCCATTAACTGGAACAAGAAATCGCAACAAAGGGGACATTTTCTGTCTTCTCTTTAGTTGTGGGAAATCAGGTACTTCTCTGAATCATGATTATGTCTTTACAAAGACAGTTAAATATTGTATGTAACTTCAGAAGTTCAGAGCCTGTTCCTGTGTGCTAAGAAAGAAGCTCTCCTTGCCTTAAGATCAAAATTATATTTATACTGATTCCTTTAGTAATTTATTCCCTATGTTAATATTTTAAATAAAATTACTGTTTTATCAAAAATGGAATTACTTGGGAATTTTGTTTTATAACCCTGAAGCGAATCATTGGCACTTCCTTCTTCCTCTGCATTACAGAGGACATAAAACTAATGATTCTGTTAGATTTCTTCATGAAGCAGAGAATTTAATCTCACTTAAATTATCTGTCAACCAGACTGGCTGCCACTCTCCTGATAGGCTGGCTGCAAACAAATATTCTGAGCCATAAGGAATGGGGATTTTTCTGATTTTTCTGCAGCACAAGACACCCCCATCAAGGGCACATAATTGTATGTAAATACAATTAGGTAAAAATAATAGTCATAAGTATACTTGAGGAAATTTTGAAGAAAACATATAGACACTCAAGATTTCTATTTAGAGTCTCTAGCTGAAATATTTTAAAATATAGTCATCTTGTTCTTATAATAAAAAGAAACAAATTGGGGAGTTGTAAACCTTTTCCACCTAACAGGCAAGAGATTTAAACTGCCAAATAGGTGTTGTAGAAGAAACAACAAAAAACAAACAAGGAGAAAGTAACTCTCAGTTTTCTGAACTTTTCACTAAAAACTTAAGAAAACCAAACCAAACCCACTGCCACTGAGTCAGTTCCAACTCATAGCAACTCCCATAGGGTTTCCAAGGCTTTAAATCTTAATGGAAGCAGACTGCCTCATCTTTCCCCTGCCAAAGGGCTGGTGGGTTTGAACTACCAACCTTTTGGTTAGTAACCAGAGATCTTAGCTACTGTGCCACCAGAAGAAGGGGGAACAAAATGGCAGAATTCAGTGACACTGAAAAGAGTTGACTGGTACGTAGACCAGAGGTCAGTTGTATTTTTCCGAAGTAATGATAACCATTGTATGGTCTTTAAATATCTTATACTTGTATCTTAAATTAGTTCCAATGAATGATAAAAATTTAGGAAAATATTTGAATGGTTGTTGACCAAATGGGATATATAAAAAATTATCTGCACATATAACAAAACTAATAACCTATGCTAGTATATGGCAATGGTCTGTTTTGTGTAATAGGCTCTTCTTTATTACTGTAAGAGGTACCCATGCTTCTGGTACGTAATTCTCAGAGCCCCTTCCTTGGTTTCTGACTGAAGTACACTGACAAATGTGTCCCTGCATGCATTTAAATTGATATGTTTTATTACCTACTAATAATCTACTCCTACTTCTTTTCCATTAGCCACTTAAAAAGGAAGAAGAAAGAAAGATGTAGTAATTAACCTCAAAAGACATGTTGCCGATTTTTTAAATGAAAGAAAGGAAGTGTAGGATGACAAGGTTACCTCATCCTATAAGGGAGGGTTATTTTGAATGACTTCAAGGAACCTCTTTTTTGTCTGTTTGGTATAAGACATCAAGTTAGTGGTTTCCTCTTCATTTAAAAAAAAATTCCTTCTTACAAAATCCTCTTGCAGAAATAAAATGTACATACCATAGCATAAGATACTAATTTCCTCAAGCATCTTCTATGAAGTTACAACACTTTAAACACTGTGTTTAAAATCTCGGACTTAAATTCATGCAATTAGAAGGTTCTGGAAGTCAGAACATTCATCCTCAAACCTGTGCCCCTCAATGCTCTGCTGTGTAAGCAAATCACTCAAAACTCACTGCCATTGGGTCAGATCTGATTCATAGCGACCCCCTCCTTGGGTTTGCAAGACAGTATCACTATAAAAGTAGATTGCTCAGTCTTCCTTCCAAGGAGTGGCTGGTGGGTTTGAACTCTCAGGCCTCTGATTAGCAGTCAAATGCCTTAGGTACTTACAACACCAGAGCTCCAAGTGTAAGCAAATAAAAAGTGGAAAAGCTGACACATCTTCTTCTGGGAGGCAGAAGGTTACCTCTCCATGTTGTCATCCTCAGGTATTTATTACCATAGTCAAATCCTTTCCTGTCACCAGTTTTCTAAATTAAATGTTTTATTTTCCTTGGATGAACAGCAAAATGCATACATTTCACAGCCTAAAAATATACAAAAACTGATTTCCTGAATCCTAGGGAGTTAAATTGTTTGCTTTGGAAACCTGGCTAAAATTGTATCAGGATATCTAAGGCAAAGTGACATGATTATAGTCTTATTTTCTTCCATTTCTGTTCTTTGCCATAGAAGAAATTGACCTTTCACCTGTAAGAAGAACGCAAAGTTTGCCTAAGATTATCATCTCTTTTTCAGTAAATCAGTCAACACTGAAATCTTCCCAATTTCCATTTAAATGAACCATCTCCCAAAGACATCAGTGCAAAGAGTTAACATTCTCAGCCACTAACCAAAAATCGGAGGTTTGAATCCACCCAGAGATGCAGCCAGAAAAAGGCCTGGTGATCTCCTTTCAAAAAATCAGCCATTGGAAACCCTCTGGAGTAGAATTCTACTCTGACACACATGGCATCACCATGAATCAGAATTGATTCCAGGGCCACTGGTTGGGTTTGGTACTATAATTCAGCATACTTTACTGAGCTTCTGTTTTTAGTAGAATGCGTGTTTTTGTAGCTTTTACTCTCTTTCTGGGCTCATCAAATTGCCTATTAATATGTAATCCAAACCATTTGCAAGTGACCTTTTTTGGATGTATATCAAAAACAGACCAAGGTACATTGTTGTTGTTGTTGTTATGTGCCATCGAGTCAGCCCTGACTCATAGCGACCCCTCCTTGGGTTTCCGAGGCAGTATCACTACAGAAGTAGGATTGTCCAACCGTACTTCCGAGGAGTGGCTGGTGGGTTTGAATGGCCAGCCTTCTGGTTAGCATTAGGAAGGGTAATAATCTGAAGCCTTTGACTTTGACACTACTAGCTTTTTACCCTTAGGTGGCTTTCTTAACCTCTCAGTTCCTTCATCTCAAAAAGAAAGATAATATCTAATCTAGAGTGTTGCTGTGAAGATTAAATGGGACAATGTATATCAAATTCTTGGTCTACTCCCTAAAACATAAACACTTGCCCAGTAAATAACAATGACAATGATGGTGATGTATATAGCAATGCTGATGCTGGCCCAGTCAGATAAGTATATGATTGAGCAACAGGAAAAAAAGAGAACAGTATTGAGTTTTTCATACCCAGCTCATGTGTTCCAGACAGAATTCATTCATTCTTCACTCAACCCAGGAAAGGGTTGGAATAAAGTGAGGTTTTTGAAGCTGTTTAAATGACATGGAGGGGTGAGAATGAGTCATTGACATATGGTGACGGATGGTGTAGAGTTTATATTCCAGTGATGAAGAAGACAACTAGGACATTACATAAGTATAAATATATAGTAGATCAGAGAGTAGTTAAGTAGTAAAAAGAAA